GTTATCAGGGATTATCTGTGGGCAATGGAATTAGGACTCAAAAGGATGTTTCCCCCCTTATACATGGCTAGATTTTTTTTCTTTGATGAACATTTATCACTTCAAATATATTTGCTTTAAACACAAGGCATGTAAGTGACACCCAGGGCACCCCTGATCCTGGAGATGGTGAACAATTGTAGGGACTTAATGGCGATGATCATAAGGACTTGATGGTGGAGGACCAAAAGGACTTGCCAAACTGATGTCTACTACTCAGAGATGCCTATTCCACCTGAAGAAACTATTCAAAGGACCCATCCCCAAGGGCTTTTCACTTGGAGAAGATTTTACACCTTTAATAAGGAGCATATTGCATGGAAAAGAGTAAAATGAGAGTCTTTTTTTTTTCTTTTTTCAAGCATGAAAATAAAGTCTTTCAGTTAAACTCCCTTAACACATCTGTCCACTAGTGCAGTACAGAAGTCATTTCAAAAGAACCAAGGAGGTACTTTACAGCAGCTGGAGGAGCTTGAGTCTTCAGGATCAAGCCATGTTTGCCAAGAACAGTGAACCTTTTAAGAGTCATAAACAGTAGGGTTGCCACTATTCACTCTGGATTTCTGTGTTAGTGTAGGGAATTTGTGTTTTGCTGTGTGTGAGCAACCTTGTCTGTCTTGGGCCCAATCAAGGGTTCTGAGTTGAACACATGGAGAGCAGGAGGAACCCGACTGAAAAGTGGAGGCTTCCCACACAGGAGGGAACTACCAGTCCAGACTCGTCACTCACTTTCCCTTGGCATGGTTAACCCACAAATCAGGCTTGGCCAGGCAGCAACAGTTCCTCTTTCTAGTTCTCATTTGTCTCCTCTTCAAAGCCACAGCAGGCCTCCCTCTAGCCACAGCTGACTCATGGGATTCCCATCCTCCCTTTCATTCTCCTTTCTCACTCTGCATCTCAGATCAAAATACTTCTATGTATTTCTTCAGCCATTCAAAGTTGGAGTCTCCTGTTTTCTAATTACAGATATTCCTTGAATTATTCTCCCTTCTCAAACATACCCAGAACAAATGGCAAGAAAGACATCCCTGCCACCCAATTTATTCCTTTTCATATCACTTGAATATGGCTTTTCCAGTAGACTGAATCTTCCATCTTTGCTCATTATTTCATTCTACCCTGCCCCATCCTAAAATGCAGGAGAGCCACCAGCTGTAAGCAATATCATACTCTCATTCATATTGCCAAACTTGGACATGCTGTCAGTTCCACCACTCCTACGTTTTACTGAACCAAAGCATAAGGCTATGTGGACAACACACAACAGGTTTTGCATGGTTAGTTCCTTTTGGGCTAAGACACACACACACACACACACACTCAGATAGAAAGAGAGAGAGAGAGAGAGAGAGAGAGAGAGTGTGTGTGTGTGTGTGTCAGATAGAAAGAGAGAGAGTGTGTGTGTGTGTGTGTGTGTCTGTGTGTGTGTGTGTGTGTGTGAGTGTGTGTGTGTGTGTGTGTTTAGAGATACAAAGTAGCAACTAGGAGTGTAACATCTAGATCAGACACAAACTCAAGGCTTAAATATTTATTTTGGTTTTCTTTTTGGCCTCTGTACCAACAAATCAAACACCAGTTGTCATAGCAAAGGACTCTGGTAGTTTCCAAAAGTTGTCCAATGAATTGAGATTATGCTATTTTATAAAATAATAAACATCTTCCAATAATAGAGACCAAATCAGCTGCAAAGAAAGAGTAGTGTATCAGTGAGTCTAAATACTGGCTAACATGGTATCCAGGAGTCAAGAAAACAAGCATGATGCACACTGAAGACCAGAATAATGAATACTCAGACAGACAATTCTGGGTAACTAAACAAGGAGGAATTACAAAGCCAAAGGGAAAGTCCCAGGTGGACCACTAGAGTGTGTTTACTGCCCCAAATTCACATTATAACTCAAAACTACTGTGCCCTGGGGAAGCACCATGGGCTTTCTTCATAAAGAAGAAAGTTTTACCCATACAGGCCTTAACCATGGTAGTTTTTTGTACTTGGTCATCCCCACATCAGGCAGATTTCTTTATGCCTGAAACATAATAAGAACCTTAAATGAATGTTGCACAATGCCCAAAACTGTCAGAGTATCTCCTCTACAGAATAATGTTGCAATGACCTCTTCTGCGGATTGTATTATAGTGACATCACATTCTAATAAACCAAGATTATTCAGATTTTCTTCACTAGAAAACATGACAAGAGTGGTGTGTTTTCTTGTATCTGAAGTCTTAATGTATTTTGCTTTTGGATTTCTAATTCTGAGCAAGAAAATGTATTGAATTTTAAGAATTCTACACATTAATTTTGGTTAAATTAACAGAGGAGTAAGCAGAATTGTGGGGCTGCATTTAGTGCTACCAAATACATATGTGCATCAGACTAAACTTGACCATAACTTTCTGCTCCTGAAATGACATTATGTAAACCTGAAGGCATCTATAATGCCATATTTCCCTGAGATGACACAGCAGGTAAGCTGACTCCTCCTATCAACTTACTCACTCTACAAAGAGAAAAATAAATTGTCTCCCAGCGTGTGGTCACAAGAAAGACACAAGGAATTCTGACATTCCAGTCTGTGGTGCACCAAACATTCTCCTTGCAGGAAAACGAGAGCTGTAGACTATGCCACAGCTGCTGTGGAAAGGGACAGGTGGCTCTTTGAGACTCTTGACTCTGCCCCTACAGCCCTTGGGACATCTCTACCCCTGACGTCATCTGACTTTCCTGAAAACACTGATGTGATAGTTAGGTACATTCAGTCTTCTCTTAAGTGAATGATGTCCTTTCTTCTTTTCCTTTTTTTTTTGTTTTTGTTTATATAACAAAAGAACATATGCTTTCCCAACTTTAACTCATATCTAATTTTCTAAGTTCAAAAGAAAAATTAACACTGTATCTCTACCCCACCCACCCACTTTAAGGGTGCTACGTTTAACAGCTTGAGGACAAAGAATTACATATGTGCCCATATTGATGTTTAATGAATATAAATCTGGTCTGCAACCTGCCTTTTCACTTAATATACTTTGAGTTTTCATAAGCCAACATACCAGTGCAGCTAGCAGACACAGGTGCTGCATCCTCTAATTCCCTGCTGTGAGAATGCTAAAGATTTACTGAAGATCAGAAGTAAACTATAAGAACCTATTGGTCTAATACTCAATTCATCTTTGGCAATAAGGTTTACATTCCTTGTAAGTTCAAAAGTGGTAAGATGAAATGGGTAAAAATATTATGCATTCACTAATCTCTATACATTATCAATATGTATATTATTCTGTACTGGTAAATGTCACAGGTAATGTGCATGTATTGAAACAAAGTTTATTCTCAAAGGCAAGAAACAAAGGCAAGCATCTATGTAGACTGTGAGACTTAATAGATCCTAAGCAGGAAGGAATGTCATGTGGAAATTTCCTACACTTTGGGGCCAGAGGCATGGGTCAAATCTAACTCCACCTCTTACTGAGTATGTGGTTGGTCTAAGTTGCATAACTTCTCTAAGCTTCCCTTTCATGGTGTATAAAATTAGGGGACAGACATTGGTACAGAGATTTGAAAATAAATTCTTCAGGGTGGCACCTTTAAAAAGAATTTCCCAAGTGCCACATTACTATTGATAATGCATATATAACATATATATATATATGATCCATATATATATATGATCCAATATCCACACTACCAAACAAGTGATGTTTGGATTTGTCTCTGTTTTAATCTGTCTTCTTGTTTTATAGAGAGACAGCCTTGGAAATAAGTTACTGTAAAATACTTAATAGGTTTTTTTTTTTCTTTTTCTTTTTTCGAGACAGGGTTTCTCTGTGTAGCTTTGGAGCCTATCCTGGCACTCACTCTGGAGACCAGGCTGGCCTCGAACTCACAGAGATCCACGTGCCTCTACCTCCCGAGTGCTGGGATTAAAGGTGTGTGCCACCAACGCCCAGCAAATACTTAATAGTTTTAATTTATTATAGAAATAAGATCCTCTTTACTCCCCAAGTGTGTCTTTCACTGAGCTCATTAACAATGTTTCAACTTTTTCCTAAGAAATGTGAATTTCTACTTATAACCTGTGAAAGGGGCCATTCATCCTTACTCATCACTAAGTAGCTGAAAAATCCTCCACATATACTAATGACAAGAAGCCTTGAGTGTCAGAGCCAAGCTTCCCAATACAGAGGATTCTTTTCTCCCCCTTTTCTTCATAAGACCATCAATAATGCATACACCTTCAGCTGGCTAGCTCTGGGTCTCGGGCAAGTGATGCTCTGCACAGTACAGGGACCTACCAAATGTTCGACTCCTTTACTGTGTTGCTAGTAACACATAAACTGTATGTTGCCTTTTTTCAAATACACCTAATATCACACATTATCGTCAACTTTCAGAAAGGTCAAAGGAAATTTGGCTTCTATATTATCCATCCATCTTCTTCCTATATGTGAGCAAAACTGCAGCCCGGGATGATGTAACAACCCAAGAACACAAAACTATTTAGACAACTATTCATTTGGGAGTTGAACTTAAACTCTGCAAGGTTATTACTGCGACGGATCGGCAGGTATATGTTCCAGTGGGTGTAGGAGTGCTTATTAAATGTTTTAGGAGGAAAGGAAATGTTTGTGGTTTCAAAGGAGTGCGTTAGCAGCAAGAACATGTAGGGAGGAGTGTGGGGAAGAGGAGGGGCTATACCTGAAATCTTCACCCTCCTATGGAAATGTACCTGGCAATCTCCCTTTAGGAAAGGACCTAAACCCGAGCTGAAGCTAGGCTGCACGCACGACGCAGGGCATTTCTCCTAGGAAGGTAGAAGCCTGGAGGGAGGGAGAGTTGTGAGCCCCCGTGTCTGTTCCTGTGGTGGCAGACAATTTCAGTTTCCTCCTGTCACACAGGGGCCACGTCCCTGTCACCGGTGGTGCGGACACTGTCGCCTCCCCCCTCTCCCGGGGATGTTTACCTCCAGGGCGACAGTGGGGGCTGTGCTGTGACGAGCCTAGACCGGAGAGGCCCACCCGCGCCCCCACCTTCTGCAGCAGCTGGGGCGGCGGGCGAGGGCTCCCGGGCAGCGCCTTTGTTTTCCCGACTCCAATTACGTTTGCGGAAGTGCTGCCAGCGCGGGGGACGCCGTGCCTCTGCCCTGCACCCCGAGGATGACAGGCGG